AAGAAGAAGAAGAAGAAAAAGAAGAAATGAAATTATTTTACAAGCAATGTATGTTATTTTTTAAAAAAATAATAAGTGAATAATAAAATTAAAATGAATAGCAAAGCCAGAAATTTTGAAGGGCGAACAATGCTCCAGCCTGCAATGTCTTTTGTAAACCAAGTACTCAGAACGCACACTCGGATCTCGCAAGCAAAGCAGTTTAGTTCAGTTTTTTTTGGAGGTGAGATTGGGACTTCTTGGCGATGACCAAGCCAGGCCACCTGGATCGACCGGGGAGGGAGCAGGGATGCAGGGAGGGCCCTGCCAGCCTTTCTCCAGCCACCTTCAACCTTTGTCTTGGCTTGAAGCCCCCACTCTCCTCCCCCCGGGGTTGTCGGCCCAACTGGGAGCTCAGAAAGAAACAACAGAAAGAAAGGAAAACGGATGACAGGGATTTGGAAGAACAAGAAAGAAACCATCAACCTCTGGGAACCTGTTAGAACGAGGGCACAACTGTATTACCTCAAAGATTTAAACAAAAAAAAAATCACAGCTAAAGAACTTTTATTGTTTTCCTTTTTTTCTAAAAAAAACCCAAACAAAAAACACAAAAAAAAAAAAGAAAATCAAGAAAAGAAGGTGAAGAAATAAAAAACGACGCCAGTGAAACTGAAGAAGGTTTGGAAGAACCTACTGGGATCACACCAGGCGACGAGCATTTATTTTGTTATTCTGAGCCACCGTGGAGTCTGGAACTTTGTTCTTTTTTCCTTATCCAAGCAGGGATTTGTTCATCAGTCCAATCAGGAGTCACTAACAGGGTATTTCCAAAGCATTCCCGTCCATGGGGGGAGTGCATCGACTTCCACATTTCCGTAGGTCACTCTTCATTCTTTCCTCCAAGTGATGCCAGCTGCAGCTACACACACCACACACACACACACACAAGAGAACATTGTGCTTTTCTTTTCTTAAAAAACATACCTATTGCACCAAAACCTAAGAGAGACGATCATGCAATACAGGCAAATGAGCCCATATGAAACCAACATGCATCCCAACAGAGAGCAAAAAAAAAAACCCTGAGTTTATAGAGATAATTTTGTTGTCGTCGTTTTTAAACTGGACCAAAACTTTTGTTACCCAAACCAAGTAGGGGAAAAAAAAACAAAAAAGAAGAAAAAGTATTTCTTTATGGACCAAAACCTCTTCAGCTGTCCTTTTCCTGGATCTTCCTGAGGTTGGCCACTTTTATATATTATATTTTTTTCAGAACGAAACAAAACAGAAAAAAAATTGCCTTGTTGAACATCCTTTAATCATTTCAAGACTCCTGGTTTTGTTAAATGAGATACTTTAAAACCATTGGGAAGTGGGAGAGGATGGGCTTCAGATCTGGCTCCCGTGCCAACGCATGCAAGGTGCAGGCCAGCACCTTCACTCCATCAGGTTTGTTCAGCTGGTCTGTGGATGCCAAAATGCTGTGATGTTAAAAATGTGTTGGATTGACCTATTGAGTACCAGTACACCCAGCTATAAATATATGTGTGTATATATATATATAGGCACTTAATTAATCAAGCACCTATATATATATATATGTGTGTATATAAACCCATATATATATTTTTTCTCCCACTGCCACCACTTCCCCATTTCCTACCCCTCAACTTCTGCTCACAGATCCTGGACCCTGATTTAGAACTGAACCAACAAGTTTCACAACTTGGCACAGACAGTTCTAACATTAAAAAAAAAACCCAAACAAACAAACAAAAAAAAATCACCTGAGATTTTTTTTTATTCCCTTCAGTTACAGGAGACTTTCTTTTCATCGTGGTAATGTTCCTGGGAACATCCTCCCTTCTGCTTGGTTTGCTGCCTGTGCCCTGGCACAGCGGGCTCAGGGGCACAGTCACTGAAGGGCTGAGCTCACTGTGCTGGGGCAGGTGCTGCTGGTGCTCTGTGCTGATAAAAATCCACTTTTGATCTTCAGATACCAGTTGGAGGGTTGGAAATGGTGGTGGGATGATGGGATGCCTCCACTCTTTTGCATCGACAGTAATGTATTCCGTAGGGGCGGATTGGAGGGGTGGGCAGTGTTCCCAGGCTGTAGTGGATGCTGATGTTTTGGAAGCAGTAAAGACAAAAGTTAAAATGCTGTGGCAATGGGACACTGTCAGGCAGGATTGGTACTCCCCTCCTCCCCAGAGCTTTAGGAAATCCCTGGCCAGGCTGTTGTCCCAGCCCTGCAGCCTTTCACACCAGGAGCGGGTTGGGATGCGAGCACTTCCTGGGGGAAGGCGCCGCGTTCTGCACCCTCTGGTGTGGGGCCTGTGGGGTGATGGGGTCTGGGGTGCTCTGGATGAACCCCCAGAGCCTCCATGTCCCGAATTGTCCTGGGGCACAGCCCATCCTCAGCATAGGAGCCCCATCCAGCACTGGCCACATCCTTCCTAAAACTGCCCCATTCTCATTCAAAATCTGGCCTCAGTTTGGTCCCAGTTAAGGAAGGGAAGGACAGGGCAGGGAGAGGGGGACATGGCCGTTCCCTGGGAACCTCTCCCCTCCCCAGTGCCCCCTCCTCCATGCCGTGCTGCCCTCCCCACCCCAGGGCTGCACTGGATCCCTTCGTGGCGCGGAATTCTCCCGCTGGTGTAGAGAGAGTGGTGGAAGCACGAGCTGGGGGGCGGGGGGTGGGGGTCGGTGGGCAGGGGGCTCAGCCACCCTTCAGAGGGGCGTTCAGAAACGTTGGTGTTGGTGCTGGAGGGGCTGAGCTGGGGGCTCGGCCGCTGTGTTAGTGAGTGAGTAGTCGTTCTTGGCTGAGTGGAGTCTGTTCGTGGTAATGTGAGCAAGTTCTTGATCAATGTCTTTATTTGATGCCAGGTTGTGAAGAGGTGGGTGGGAGTGGGGAGGGGGGAAGGAGACCCCTGTGTTGGGGACCTGGGGTGGGGGGACCTGTTCTAGCACTGACTGTAGGGGGTGAGGAATGGGGAAGGTACAGGGGGCTCAGCTCTGCTCCTTGTAGCTCCTCCCTCACCTTAACAAGCGAAAACGATGTAAAAGCCTCCTGCATGCTGAAAAAAAAAATGTTAGAGAAAAAGACAAAACCCCTTTCTTTAAAAAATAAAAAAAAAAAAGAAAAAAGAAGGGAAAAAAAAAAGAAGAATCATGACCCAAACAAACGTCCAATGCTTGCTGTTGGGAACCGGAGTGGGGCTGTCCTGAGGGGGCTGCCCCTCTCTACAGATGAGGTTCCTACTCAAGTCTCCAAGTTGGCCTTTAATAAAATCTTCAGTTCCAATAACCTTTATATATATATATATATATACACATATATATATACATATACATATATATTAAAAAAAAAAGCTTGATGTAGCAGTTCTAGTTTAAAATGAATAGAAGTATTTCGGCCCCTGTTTTTATTTTGATTTTGTTCCCCCTGTCCCCTGCTTCCCGCTGTACCCCCCACCGACTCCATATTTTGATGTAGCAACTTTGGAAGAAAGAAAAAACAGGCGCTGTAAATGCACCGAGAGCTACCTCTGCCTCGAGTGGGGGCTGCAGGGAACTCGGGGGGCTCATGGGGCACCCAGAGAGGGGCAGCCCGGGCCCTGCCTGTTGGCATCCATGGGGAGCCCGGTTGCGGGGCTTGAACAACAAAAATTTGCGTAATTTTTTTTTCCTCTTTTTAAATATATGTATATATATAAAAATCTTTAAAAAAAAATAATAAAAACAAAAAACAAGAAAAATGCCCATGACCTTAACTATTTGCTCTGACTTGTATCTTCCTTGATAGGTGACTAAAAATGGCTTGTTGGTCTAATTCACCAGCAATAATGATAACTAAATACAGCCCCCTCCTCCTGCACCCATCCCTTTTCTGCAGCGCCCACCGAGCCGGGTCCTTGCACTCCTCCCCTTCCCTCCCACCTCGAGGATGCCCTTGGTGACCCCTTGTTGCAGTGTGAACCAACTGGCCTGAACCTGGCTGGCTTCAGCTGCCCCACGATCCCTCCCAGGCTTTTGGGATACCCCTTTGGGGTGCTGAAGCCGTGGGGGCTGGAGGGAGGCAGGTGGAACTGGGACCCCGTGCGCCAAACTGGGTGTTCCTCCCTCTGGAGCAGGAGCAGCAAAACCCTTGTGGGAAGCCTGGTCCCTGAGACCTCCATCCTGCAAAATCACGTCCCAGCAAAGCAGGGTGGGTTCCTGGGAGTGATGACAGGACAGTGGCACCCCCGAGGGGGGCTGATGCCAGTGGGTGCTGCTGGTCTCCCCTTGGCCTGACTGGGAATGGGGAGATCCTTGGGGTTTGCATTTGCTGGAGCTGGGGTGGGGACCGAGGTGACCCGTGCCATGCTGTGCTGTGTGTGGTGATGGTGGTGATCTTTGCAAGGCAGTGACAAGAGGGCACAAGCAGTGGCACTGAGGGCAGGTACCCAAAACCCAGGGCTGGGAGCAGAGAGGGCAGAGCTGCGCTGGAAGGCGCTGAGCTGCTGGTAGGACATGGCCAGGTGTGAGCAGGACATGTCCAGGTGTGGGCAGGACACGTCCAGGTGTGAGCAGGACATGTCCAGGTGTGAGCAGGACATGGCCAGGTGTGGGCAGGACACGTCCAGGTGTGAGCAGGACATGTCCAGGTGTGAGCAGGACATGGCCAGGTATGGGCAGGAGGTGTCCAGGTCCAGGCAGAACAGGTCCAGGTGTGTTCAGGATGTATCCAGCTTTGTTCAGGACCTGTCCAGCTTTGTTTAGGACATGTCCAGGTTTGTTCCTGACCTGTCCAGGTTTGCTCAGAACGTGTCCAGGTTTGTTCAGGACATCTCCAGCTTTGTTCAGAACGTGTCCAGCTTTGTTCAGAACATCTCCAGGTCCAGGCAGGCTCACCCCAAGGGAGGACAGAGGGGCTGTAGTGGGGTGCCCACCCAGTTCAGCACTGGGATTTCCATTCGTGCTTTGCCAAACTGCCGCCGAGTTCAGCCCCGGCTGCAAATAAAGAGTGGGGCCTTGGGGCTGTGCTGGGTTTGGGACTCATCCTGTGACTTTTCCATGTGGATGTGACCTCCTGGGTGGAAGGGAGTTGTGACAGGGCTGTGAGAGCTCCCTGTTCCCATGCCAGGGTCCTGCCATGTCCCCAAATTCTGTTTTGGGGGGCGGTGTTTGAGAGCTGCCGTGGGGGGACAGCAGCTGCTGGACAAGGGACGGTGCAGGGGAGCGGGTGACAAATAACAAAGGGAAATGGAGGGAAAAAGTAATATCATGCTGTGATGTCATCCTCATCGACATAAATTATATAGAGAATAGTGTGTATTATAATGCATAACAAAAGAAAGTAAAAAAGAACCAAAATTGGATTTATAGTTAATGAGGAGATACTATAAAAATATCTTGTCCTAGCTCCCATTTGCAAAAGTATTTTTCAGCTGGAGGGATATCTATTATTTTTTTCTCTTTTCTTTCTTTCTTAAAAAAAAATAATAATCTTCATACATACAAAGGCTCAGACTGTTAATATTGTTAACCTCTGAAATCAAAATACTCCAACCTGTTTTGTTTGGTGTTTGAAGGGTTTATTTTGATGCATTTCCTGGTGTTTTTTAAAGAGAGAGAGAGGAGGGAAAAAAAGATTAAGATTTTAAAATTAGAACATTTCTTTATAATTTAATATTCTATTTTAATAAATGCATTTATTACATGTAAATGTAGCAAGGAACTGGGCTAATAAAAATACTTTTTATTAGGTAATTTATTATAAGAAAAAAGGATATTTTATTTTATGATAAAGTGATCCTTAAAAGTTTAGAAGGTTTAGAATATATGTAGGTTAAAAAATACATTTGTATCCAGAGTATTGCTTAAAAAGTGTTTTTAATATATGTTTCATTTTTCGTGTGTGCGTGTGTGTATGTAAAGGTGATAGTTATGGTGCAGATAGCCCTTTCCACAAATAAGAAATTAACACAGTTGGATGTATTTAAACAAAAGAAAAAAAGATTTAAAAAAAAAGGTGATTAAAAACAGAGAAGTAGAAGAGAAAAAACCACTATGAACCCAAGCCTGTGCCCCCATCCTGTGGCTGCTCCATCTGGGAACCCCCTTGGAAAGGGTCGAGGTGTGGATTTGGGATTGGGGCAGTTTTTGGGTGGCACAGCCCTTCCTGGCACCCTGAGCATCCATCCCAGGCTCCCACCCCACCTGCCAGGCTGGGGAGCAGCGATTGCTCCTGCTCTGCTTCCCTGGGGCTCGTGGAGAGCTGGGTGCTCGCAGGGCAAAGCTGGCACTGCCAGCTCCCACCCTCCTCCTCCTCCTCCTCCTCCTCCTTGTTGCCAGCCAAAGGAGCCAGAGGAGTTTTGTCCTTGCTGTTCTTGCAGAGAGCCCAGTGTAATGCCAGGATCTGTGGTGCTTTCCGCAGCCTTGCAGCCAGGACTGACGGACACTGCTGGCACAGACACCCCCTGGACACGCTCCTGGGGGCTCTGGGTGGTCTCTGGTGCCCCCCTTTAGGCTTTGGCTCTGTCTCTTCTGGGCTGGGTGGGTTGCAGGGACCAGGAGGGTTTTGGTGCCAGTGTTGAGGCCAGGCAGGATCTGAGACCATCCCTGGTCATTCCTTTGGAGGTTGTGCCACACCAGAGCCCTGCACTCGTCCTGGTGCTTTGTCCAGCTCACACAGAGCTCCTGGCCGGCTCCAGCCCATCCTGGGAGGGAACAGATCCACCCCATCTGCTCCTCGAGGCAGTGTGGGCACAGCTCCTGCTGGACACCCATGGCAGGGACAGCCAGAGCAGAGCGGGCGCCCCCGATGGGTTCTGAGCTTCTGTAAATCCAGGAGAGCACTTCAGCATGGCTCCAGCACATCCTGAGGGGTCTCCCAGCATCCTGTCTGCTTTAGGGGTGTGCTGAGCAGCCACCACCTCCCTGTGGGCTGAGGATGGGGAGAAATTTGTCCCCCCTCACACCCCAAATCCAGCCCGTGCCCTGCAGCAGGATGATGGGGTGATGTTTCTGCTCTGTTGCCTTTCAAAGAAGCATTTTAAAATAAGAATTTTTTTTCCTGTTTGTTTGTTTGTTTTTAACCAAAAATGAGAAGAAAAAAAAAAAGTTTGCTTTGATGGGTATTAAAAAAATGTTAATAATAATAAACACTCAAATTTATTTCATATAATCCTAGAGTAAAGATTAAAAAAAAAATTAACTAGTTCAAATAGTAGATGCTATCCATATTGTTTAATCTATAGTAGATCCAAGTGATCCCAGACAGAGCAGAATGTAAAATAAACTTGTGAACACGATCATTGTTAACTTCCCCAGGAATTCCATCTTTTTTTGGTACTATTTTTCTGAAGCAAACAAATAAATGACCGAAAGCCTAACAAAATAACAACCACCAACTGGTACCTTCTGTCAATCAAAGTCCTGAAGTTATTTTTATAGAGGGGAAAAAAAAAGACAAAAAAAAAAGGGATCTAATAATATGTATTTTTTTAAAAAGATACGTTTGGGGGTTTATGTTGCTTTTTTAATAAAAATAGACAGATTTGGCTAGTCATGGAACAAAATAAGGAAGTTTTAGGCCATTAATTTTTGCCTTATTCTGACTTCCAGCCTTGGGCTTGGAGCAGGAAATTGCAGAAAAATGTTCAAAGTTGCTGTTACTTTCCTTGGGCTGTTGTTGGTTTTTGAACTTCTCCAAGCACCAAAGGTGTGGGAAGCTCCTGGGCTGGGCAGGCGGGGCCGTCCCAGGCGGGAAGGAGAAGGAAAGGAAGATTTGGGTGATCTCCCCTCTGTAAGGTGACAGACAGAGCTCGAGGGCAGCGAGGTGCCAGGAGGAGGCTCTGCCCTTGCACTGGGCAGTGCCAGGGCATTAGGGTTGCTTTGTTCCCTCTTTGTTTTCTTTCTTTTTCTTGGTTCTCTCTCACCCCGGTGCTGCGCGCCTCGAGGTGAGCTCATTGCTTCGCGCGTGGCATCTTCCAGGAGATTTGCTTTGTTGGGCGTCTCTGCCTCCAAACATCAGCTTTGAGCACTGGACATGCTGTGAGATGTTTGGGAAAGCTCCTGCTGGCCCCAGGGGGCTTTCTCACAGCCCTGATGGGGCCACCACGTCCCTGATCCCCCAGCTTTGCTCCCTGGCAGCTGCCCTGGCACTCAGTGGCACTGGTGGCACCTGCCTGGGTCTGGCTGCAGGAGCACAGAGGGGGCTGAGGGCTCTTCTTAGCTGTTGGGTATGGATGGATCTGAGTCCCTGCAGTGCTGAGGGCAGGAGCAAGGGCTCCTGGAGCTGGCAGCAGGCTGGGGGTGATGCGGTGGCAGATGGGTTCAGATGCTGAACCCCTGGCACCAGCACTGGGGCAGGACATGGCCCATACCCCTGCCAGCTGCTCCAGTCACTCCACAGAGAGGCCAGCACTTCTCTCTGGATGCTTTTCACTGCACCAAAATCTCTGCTTGAAGGAGAGAACTCAGAAAGAAACATCCACGAGGCAACGTTGTGATTAGCAAAGAAAACCCCCTTGGGAGTTGCTTCCCTCTGGGTTTAGCCTTTGCTCCTCTCCTCTGAGCTGTGGCTCAGCTGTAGCAAACCCACGGATCTCCTGCAGCTTGGGAGCATCCACACAGATGCCTTGAGGAGCACGGTGGCCTCCCCTTGCCCCCTGCCTGCCTCGGGGGGCTGGGGGGGCCCTTACCAGCATTCATCACTCAGCAAAGCCATGCAATAGGTCAGGACAGGAATGAAGACAGTTCTCATTCGGTTTCTGAGCATAAATAGCACTGTGAATCTGAGATCCCTCCCCTGGGACCCTCCTTGGTGCTGGGGTGTTTTGGGGAGCGGGGCAGGATGGCTCCTGCACTTCTGGGGGGTTCACACTCGGTGAATCAAGCGCCTGGTCCTTCCCTGCCGGGGTGGCGAGGCAGCCTGTTTGCTCTTTCAGTTTTGTTTTACCTCATTTTTGTTTTTGTTTTTTAATTTGATACTTGAAGAAGCGTCAGTGATGGACATTGTGCATTGTGGTGCCCCTGGACTGGAGAGTGGATGCACTTTATTGTCACTTGTGTGTCACAGTGGCTCCATCCCACCCGTGCGAGCCCCAGCCAGGTGTCCTTGGTGTGGCAGCAGAGCCAGCACGGGCTGGTTCTTCCAAAAACCCTTTCTAGGATGTTTAGGGAGCAATCTCTGTGTTTTAGTGTGGGTTTTCACATCCTGTAGAAACTTGAAGTCATGTTCTGCTGTCAGTTGACCCAGTGGAAAATTCAGCTGGGGTTGTGCTGGGGCAGAATTTGGTTTGCCCCTGCCAGAGGTTGGGCAGCTCCTGCCTCCCTCCCCTGTGATCCCCCTGTTCCAGTGGCTTTCTGTGCTGGAATCTGGAATCTGGAGGCTGCAGCATCCCTGCTGGATCTGCTCCAGCAGCGCTTCAGGGCTGCTAATGGAGCAAATTGAAAGTCACCCCCAGTAAAGTGACACTAATGTAAAATCTGGAGTAGTTCCACCACTGTCTGTGTGAAAATGAAGTCCCCCTCCAATGGTGGCACCGGGTTGCTGACAGCAGGATGTGCTTTCTGGGCTTGTGATGATGCTTTTGAAACAACTTGCAGAGAAAAGGAGCAGTGAGAGGTAGCAGTGTGGTGTGGCCATTGATATCTGCTGCTGGCTCCCAGGAGCTGGGGCACAAAACTGGTCACAGGCTGTTTTGCTTATCTGTGAAACCATCAGCATTCCTTTTTCCCTTTTTATTTATGAATTCTGTTCAAGATAATCATAAAAAAAAGGGGAGGGGGGAATAAAAAGGCCAGGGGCTGGATCCTGTTTTGCAGTATGGGATTTGCTCCTGAGTTAGAAAGCAGTGCTAAGCAAATGGCTCTGCTTGCACAGCACCACGTTGGCTTCCTCTGCTCAGAATGATGCACACAGGGGTGTGTGCCCGCTCTCCCTGGGCTCTGGGGCTGGCACAGCTCCTGCCCCACGCTTCTCCCACCTCATGCTGAGCCAGCTGGGCACGGGGTCCCCTGGCATCGCCACGCCAGCTCCGTGCCCCTTCCATTCAAAGTCCATTCCCTAGTATTTTTATTTTGTGTTTGCTTTTTTTTGTTGTTGTTGTTGTTGTTGTTTTTTTCCTCTTTTCTTTTAACATCATAGGAAACCTGTAGTCGGGATTGTTACTATTGGAAACCGATCACATGTTCCATCCAGGTATTTTCATCTCTCTCTGGCAAAAATAAAGGCCTGAGAGAGAGATATAACCGAACATAGAAGTAGAGTTAGGCTTGTTGTCTGAGTTTTGAGGCATATAGTATAATGGGAGAAGGAAAAAAAAAATTAAAATAAAATAAAATAAAATTAAAATAATGATGTTGCACAACTTGTAGAAAACAAAGAAGGGAAAGGGTTAATGTATTAAATGTGCTAAATTACATTAAGAACTTAATTTTATTAAAGTATTATTACTTAAGAAACTTGGTGTCTGCTCTTGATTTGTGTCTGTTCACACTTTAGGAAGGGCCAGGGCAGTGGGGCTGAACCTCCCTCTGCCTCCCCTCCTGTGTGTCCCATCAGCCCCCTGCTTTTGGCAGCACTTCTTGGGGTTCATTAAAGCCCCTGTGAGATGAGGAACCTCCCAAGGCAGCTCCTTCTCCCAGAGCTGGGGATAGCAGGTCCCACATCTATGTCACATTTCACCCTTTCCACTTCTTCATCCCAGCAGAAAACACCCAAAAACTGGAAAGCCTGGATTAAAATTGTTGCCAAGCCCAAAAGTGCCTCCATGAGTCCATAAATGAACCCACCAGCCCTGTGCCCCTGCCTGATGGCACAGCCCATGGCAGAGGGGCCTGAGGGACGCTTGGCACAGCCCTGTCCCTTTGTGGAGCAGCATCCCTTTTCTCCATGCCCACCTCTCCAGCCCCTGGGGCTGACATCACCTCTTGGCACTGTGCTGTGGGCAGATGGTGTGGGAGGAGGGAGGTGGTGCTTGGCACTTTTTTCCACTTTTTTCCTGCACGTTTCCAGGGCTTTTCCAGCTGAGGTGGGCATGGGGTGAAGCACAGCCACCATCCAAGCTGGGACAGCCCCCAGAGCTGCAGGCAGAGCCAGGGTTTTACACCAGAGCCAGCCCAGGGATCAGGCTGCCTCTGGAGGGGCAGTGGGTGGATAAAAAGGGGCCCCCCATGATCTGGCTGCTTCTGCACCCCATTTGTGCATCCTTGTGCTGGCACCAGGATCCAACCTGTTCTAATCCTGAATTTCAAGCTCTCCCCTTGAGCCTCCCAGCAGGACACAGCCATAGCTTCCTCCCAGCCCTCCTCCTCCTCACCCTCCATTGCCTGTGGGTGCTTCCCTGCTGCCCCACTGCTCTTGCCTCAAGGAGAGACCTGGCAGAGAGAGAAGAGGTTCCAACAGCAGCTTTATTTGGGGATTTTGCCTCAATTTCTCTTTCATTGACAATTCGTGCCCCAAGGGGGAACCACAGCCCAGATCCTCCTGGCACAGCCAAGTGAGATGCAGACACAGGGGGCAGCTGTGGAGAGAAAGATCCCCCAAAACCCCACTGGCAAGGGCCACACTCGCAGTACTGGTCAATGGGGCTGGCCTTCCCACATTCACCCCATTGATTGACACCTGCCAATCACCCTGACAGCAGCACGGGGCTCAGCAGGGTCTGTCCCAGTACTCTGGGGGGTGGCTGCTGTCCCCAAGGCAGGGGACAATGCCACTGTCACCCTGCTCAGCAGGCACCCCATACAGTGGTGGCATGTCCCCAGCCACAGTGGCCACACACTGGAGCAGGACAGGGCCAGTTATGCCAGGGGGACCTCGAGGGGGTCCCCAGTGCTGACCCTGGCTCCCCCACAGGGTTCTGTGCAGAGGGACCATGTGCACATCATCCCTGCCCTCACCCCAAATCCCTGGTGTCCCCTGTCCCCTCCTTGGGGCTCCCCAAAGGCCCCCAGTCCCTGCTCCCATCCCTTTCCATGGAGGAGTCACAGCTTTTCCCTTTGCTGGGGTCACAGCACAAACACAGAGTCACCCCCACATCCCTCTCTGGCTGACCCCAGAACTCAGAGACACTCCCAGCTCTCAGGGATGCAGGGCTGGGCACAACAGAACACATCACTCAGGCAGGAGAAGGATGCACCCATTGTCCCCCTCCACACCCACCCCTGCCCTCACCCCCAAATCCCTGGTGTCCCCTCTTTGGGGCTCCCCAAAGGCCCCCCAGCTCCTGCTCCTATCCCTTCCCATGGAGGAATCACAGCTTTTCCCTTGGCTGGGGGAAAATTCACTCTCAGGGATGCAGGGACAGGGCACTGCAGGACACATCACTGCTGGCTCCAGCAGGCAGGAGAAGGAGGCACCCAGTGTCCCCTCCACACCCAGGGTGTCACCAAACAGGGACTCAGCACGTTCAGGCTTGCTCAGTGCCACCCAGTGAGCGTGCCTGCAGGGCTGAAGGGAGCAGGGACACAGGGGATGGCATGGGGAGAGGGGGGACACCCTTCTGCTTTGCCTCTGCCCTGTTTTTGTTGGTCCTACACAAACACGGGCAGAGCAGCACAAGGGCAGGGGGATGATGCACAAACAGCAGGCAGAGCTCACTGCCCTGCCCAGAGCTGCAGGCCAGGGATGCCACCAGGGGCTGGGGGGCACGGTGGGGGCAGCCCAGGGGCTCAGATGTTCTGGCAGCACGGTGCCTGCCTGCCCTCCTGCTGCGTGGGCAGCACCTGGATGGGCTCGATGGAGGTGGAGGGGCCAAACTCGGACTCTGGCTGTCCTGTGATCTGCCTCTGCGACACGATGTGGTAGATCTCTGACAGAGAGAGAGCAGAAGGGGAAATGTTCTTTAAATAAGTATTTCAGTGAGGGATCTGCTCCCTCCTGTCACAGACATCTTTTCATTAAAAATCCTTTCTTTAGGATTTTTCCTCCTGAGAAGCTGAGAGGCCTCAGGAACAAAATGTAAACAATGGTTATCTGCTGCTGTGGGATGCAACAGGTGCATCTGTGATTAGCCCATTTTAATTGTTTCTAATTAATGGCCAATCACAGTGAGCTGGCTCAGACAGATTGTCCAGCCACAAGCCTTTGTTATCATTCCTTCTTATTCTATTCTTAGCTAGCCTTCTAATGAAATCCTTTTTTCTATTCTTTTAATATAGTTTTAATATAAAATATATCATAAAATAATAAATCAAGGCTTCTGAAACATGGAGTCAGATCCTCATCTCTTCCCTCATCCTCAGATCCCTGTGAACACCATCACACCCTCCACAAACACACAGCTGCCCACCTCTCCCCAAGAAGGGCAGCAGGATTCCAACCCAGACCCCACTCAGGTCCCCAGGGGTTGTCCTGAGAGGCCACAACATCCAAAGCCATCTCCACACTCCTTTCCCTGCCTTTCCTGGCTGCCCCTTACCCGAGAGGATGTTGTGGAAAGCCGTCTCCACGTTGGTGGAATCCAGAGCGGACGTCTCAAGGAAGGACAGCCCATGCTTCTCTGCAAGAACAGCGTGAGCTCAGGTGGGTGCCAGGATCTCCAGCCAGATGGGAATGGAGCAGGGAAGGGCCAAACGATGCCAGGGGGGCCTTGAGGGGGTGCCCAGTGCTGACCCTGGCTCCCACACAGGGAGCTGTGCAGAAGGACCATGTGCACATCATCCCTGCCCTCACCCCCAATCCCTGGTGTCCCCTGTCCCCTCCCTGGGGCTTCCCCAAGGTCCCCACAGCAACTGCCCCATCTCTTTCCATGGAGGAACCACAGCTTTTCCCTTTGCTGGGGGGGTCACAGGGAAGGGCTGCACAGGATGGGGGAAGATGTAGGGGGATAGAGCATAAGTAAATAAAGGTGGTATAGAAAGTAATCTGACCCCCTACAGAGTTGCAGCTGGGTTAATTATTATTATTATTATTAATTATTTAATTATTAAAATCAGGAGCAGGCCTGATTTTAACAGGCCACACCTGTAGCCAATAAGAAGAGTGTTATAAAAGAGTGGATTGGTTGGTGGAGGGAAACTGGACTCAGTTCGCTGCTGTGAGGACAAGGAAGAGTCACTAGAGGAGCTGCCTGTGAGAAACATGAAGGAGGTGCGAAACTCTGCCAATATGGAACCCTTGCAGTGTAATGACAACAGGAAGATACCTGCAAAGCTCCTGGCCTCGTCGGTGGGCACAGCCCTCAGGTGCCTCAGGTCACTCTTGTTGCCCACCAGCATGATGACAATGTTGGCATCGGCGTGGTCCTGCAGCTCCTTGAGCCAGCGCTCGGCGTTCTCGTACGTCAGGTACTTGGCAATGTCATAGACCAGCAGGGCCCCCACTGCCCCTCGGTAGTACCTGGGGGTCACACACATCTCTTATCAAAAATCCTTTCCTAGGATTTTTCCTCATGAGAAACGGAGAGGTGTTGCTGGCATGGGGCTATTTACAAATCACAAATGGGATGGGGCTGCTGCAGAACGTGCCTTGAGCTGTTTTATTTTCCAGCATCAGTCTCATTCCATGGTTATGACAATGGGAAGATGACAGCAGCTCACATCCCAGGCAGCAGACTAAGAACTTAATGTTACAACTTACTTTATAAGTTTCTTGACCAATCACACAAAGCAAAAGCATATTGAGTTAATACAAAGACCATTGTTCTATTTGTCCTTGCTTTTCTACAGTTTAAAAACTTTTTCTGCTGACCTATCCCATGGCTGCTGCTTAGCTCCAATCTTAGTTCTGCTGTCTCTGAGGCCTGACTTTTGCAGCTTTCCCAAAACCCTCTGATTTTGTGGATTCCAACAAGAGGCTTCAAGAACAAAATGTAAACAATGAGTATTTGCTGCTGTGGAATGCAACAGGTGCATCTGTGATTGGTCTCATGTGGTTGTTTCTAATTAATGACCAATCACAGTCAGCTGGCTCGGAAACTCTGAGCCACAAGCTTTTGTTATCATTCTTTCTTTTTCTATTCTTAGCCAGCCTTCTGATGACTTCTTCTAATCTTTTAGTATAGTTTTAGTATAATATATATCATAAAAAAATAAATCAAGCCTTCTGAAACATCGAGTCAGATCCTCATCTCTTCCCTCATCCTCAGACCCCTGTGAACACGGTCACACGTGGGCACAGGGAGGGGACAGGGTCACAGCAGGGCCCCAGGCAAGGGCTCCAGGGGATGGAGAAGGAGACTCACGCGGAGGTGATGGCGCGGTAACGCTCCTGCCCGGCCGTGTCCCAGATCTGAGCCTTCACTGTCTTGTTGTCCACCTAGGGCACAGATATGTTTTATGAAAAACCCTTTCCTTGGGATTTTTTCCTCCTGAGAAGCTGAGAGGCCTCAGGAACAAAATGCAAACAATGGTTATCTGCTGCTGGTAGCCTTTTAAGCTAAAGAAAGATGGTTTCCCCCCTGTTTAATGATATGCCTCAACTAAACCCCAGCCCTATGCTCACTTCATGACTCACTTCCTCTTTAATTATCCAACCCAAACTTCTATCACTTGTATCAATAAACTCCCCTCTAGCAAACCACCCATCACTCCAAGCACTGCAACCTGAACTTGACCATGCAACAGGTGCATCTGTGATTGGTCCCATGTGGTTGTTTCTAATTAATGGCCAATCACAGTCAGCTGTTTGCACTGTCTCAGTCAGACACAAGCCTTTGTTATTTCTTCTTTTCCTATTCTTAAATAGCCTTCTGATGAAATCCTTTCTTCTATTCTTTTAGTATAGTTTTAATATAATATATTAAATATAACATTTAATATAATATAATTATAATATAATATAGTTATATATATAACTATATATAGTTATATATACTTATATATATAATACATATTTAAATATATAAAAATATACTTATATATATTTAAATAGAAATATATTAGAAATAAATATACATATTTATCTCTAATATTTGTATAATATTTATAATGTACTATTTATATTAGAAATATAAATATTATATAATTATTATACTATATAAATATTGTATATACTATATAAATCTTATCTCATCTATAATATTTATATATTTATATTTATAATATGGATATATTATATTATACATTATATATATTGATATATAAATCAATACATATCAATAAATTTACATATCAATAAATAAATATATATCATAAACCAAGCCTTCTGAAACATGGAGTCAACATTCTCATCTCTTCCCTCATCCCAAGACCCCTGCAAACACAAACACCACCACACACCTGGATGCTCCTGGTGGCAAACTCCACCCCGATGGTGCTCTTGCTCTCCAGGTTGAACTCGTTGCGGGTGAAGCGGGACAGCAGGTTGCTCTTGCCCACCCCTGAGTCCCCGATGAGCACAACTGGGTGGGCACAAACACAGGGTCAGCTCTGCCAGGCAAGGGGAACCCACATCCCACAGCCTGGCAGGGATGGGAATCCCCCATCTATCCCCACACCTCCATCTCATGCAGGAGGAGCTGCCCCCAGCCCTCCCAGCAGCATCACTGCTGCCTGGAAATCCCCCTTGAGAAAATCCCTGCCATCGCTGGGACAGTACCAGAAGTGGAGGGGGTTGCATCTAACCCCTAAAAAAAACCACAACCCTAAAAATAAAACTAATTCTATCATAAATTCTTCTCTTTGAGATCTATGGCCTGAAAACCCATTGTTATAAAATTTAGCTACAGGAATGCTAAACTCTCCTCTCCTTTCCCCCTTCCCGCCCCCTGCGAGATGGGAAAGCACTGATGATCTGCACTGATGTACCCAAAATGGGCAGAAAAGCAGGGTCAGGAGTGTGCAGGGAGAGCCAGGCAGAGCTGGGGCTCCTCTTGCCAACCCTGAGTGCCCTCCAGCCCTGAGGGCACACTGGAGGACTTTTAGACATGGTTGGAAAGGAAGCATCCTCCTCCTCTGCTGCAGCCCATGAGCTGGGAAGTCCCTGTGTGTGGGTTAAATGCACTTTGTGCCTGTCCCAGATCAGGCTGGGTTCCTGTAAAACCTGGTGAAACAGGCTCTGGAGGAGTTTTATCACACACCTCCCCAGTCTAGTTTGTTGAGTTTATGACTCAACAAGTTTTGGTTTTAATTTTTAAGTTCTTTCTTAATTCCTTCATTGCCTGCTCATTGCCCAGGTGCACTCAGACATTTTACCCATCTGTGGGACACATCTCCCCAGTTCCCAACTCAATTCCCAGTTCATGGGACAGGAGGGCATTCCCAAATCCCTCCATCTTCCCTTCTGAACCCCCCATTCCAAAAACCCCAAAATTTTACTTTTTCACCCTGTGACAAACTAACTATCATTCTTCCTAAACTCTCATGACTTGTAAATCTTCACATAAAGTTGGTGATTTTCTCCACAGGTTAAAATGAAAGGCACAGGGGTCTGTGGCTTTGTGCCAAGGTCTCTGAGCCCCCTGGCAGGGGCTGGAGCCCTCCAGGGAACCCAGAGGAGTTTCCTGGGTTCTGACCATGGTGGTCTCTGGAGTACTCAAAAGAACAGGAGAATTCAGTTTTCAATGCAAGGGCAGCTCATCCCTTCCAAAGCAGGAGCAAAGTCAAATGGAAATGCAA